TCATGTCAGGTCAGGCTGCCAGAGCAAGTTTGTTAACTTGACAGCTCAATCGATATTTATGCAATAAGACCTTCTCGGGTGACGATAAGACATGACGACACTTTATGAAGGAAGCTAGTACCTAAACCCGGTGGTTTCTCCATAGGCGCGGGAACCGGGGCAGTGGGGACAGCTTGCCCACCCCCCAACTATGGGGCCGTGGGGGCGGTGCCCCCACAACTTTCAGACGGAATACCCCATTTTTTGCAAATGTTTTCTTTTTTTGTTGAAAAAAGCCAAGGGAAGAAAAATAAGTGGCCCAAAACCGGTGAGAAAACTAGATTCGGGGGACCCTAGGTTGATCTCTGTTATGGTGTGCCCCCCCCAGTCTGAAAGTAGTTCCCGCACCCCTGAGTTTCTCTACGCTATTGAATCACGCCGGTGATTCTAACTTTTAGGTATCTACTACGCAATCTTCTCACATTAATTTTTCTTCAAGCGTTTTGGGAGGGGGGCCAAAAGATATGTTGGCCCCCCTTTCAGGCTTTTGGGGGGCCATGGCCCCGGTGGCCCCCTCCCTGAATCCACCAGTGGGGGGGCGGTGCCACCACAACTTTCAGACGGAATACCGCCCTTTTTGCAAATGTTTTCTTTTTTTGTTGAAAAAGCCAAGAGATGAAAAATAAGTGGCCTAAAACCGGTGAGAAACTAGATTTGGGGGGACCCTAGGTTGATCTCTATTATGGTGTGCCCCCCCCCCCCAGTCTGAAAGTAGTTCCCGCACCCCTGACTTTCTCTACGCTATTGAATCACGCTGCTGATTCTAGTAGGTATCTACTACGCAACCATCTCACATTAATTTTTCTTCAAGCGTTTTGGGGGGGGGGCCAAAAGATATGTTGGCCCCCCTTTCAGGCTTTTGGGGGGGCATGGCCCCGGTGGCCCCCCCTGGATCCGCCAGTGCGAGGTTGTGTCCAAATTTGGTGTCGATCCCATTTGAAATGACGTCACAGTGACGTCATAAGTGAAATTATAGATTTGCGACTCTCATATTCCTCACGATACATCAGATATATGGGACCGAATATAAAGGGTCGATTATTGGTCAGAAACTAGATGTAAGTGTAGTTAGATGTTTTAGGATGACAGCAGGTGCTGTCTAGTTCATTTACAGTTGAGTTTCATGCTCAGCGTCATCAGAAACTGTCCATATCGGAAAACGACAAAACTTTATGACGTCACTGTGACGTCATCTTGGGTGCTACAACCACCAAACTTTCCTCAAACATTGCCTAGGTATTCATTTGAAGCTATGCCAAGTTTCACGTTCGTAGCTCATCAGGTTTCGGAGATATTTCACAAAACGTAAAGGGGGGGCAACTTTATGCCCCCCCCCCAGCGGCTCGTGGGTTAAGGACATTGAAAGCTTCGTCGCGATCAGTCGCTTTTTACGCGAGCTATTCGCAAAAAAAACGAGGGGGTCTGTTCGACAGCCCCCCCCATACGATCGAGGGTTAAAGTGTTAATAAGATATTGGCGAGACACGGGAGGGGGCAGATTCTGCACCCTTTTCCAGCGGGGCGCAGGCTTAGACCCATTCGCCAATCGCCAGTAGGTAGAACGACCAAAGTGTTCAGGACATACGATTGGATCATTCATCATACCTTAGTGTCATTATAGGTGACGACTGACGATCATGGCAAAAGGGGACGATGTAAGGAGTGCTCTATTCGGATAGCAAAGAGGAAAATCGTGAATTCTACTCCAATAAAAAACCATCTCCAACATTCACGGGAGCTTGCCTTAATGAGCTACATACATAGTTTCAGGTCCTCAATTTTAACCGATAATAAGAAATTGAACATAATAATTACGTTATATAAACGGATTGTAATATTTCCATTTCGAAAGACCGTTTTAAAGGACCATCCTATCTAAATTTTAGTTCGAGTTCAGATAGCCAAATTGGGGTCCCTGGCGGTTCAATCACTTTTATGCCAATTCATTAACTTTTTTGAAGGTGGAGCCACTTTAACCCGCGCCCCGTAGGGCTACCGGCGGACCCTACCACCCGTAGGGGGTGGGGGGTGCCGTTTCGGCCCCCCCTAAGATCTCGGAAATTTACCGGCCGATTTTCAAAATTCAAACGGCGTTTGATAGCCCTACCCGGGAACTACCTTGTGACCAAATTTCATTGACCTAGGTCAAACCGATAACGTCACAGGTCAGGTCAAAGGTCAGATTTTCACCGTTCACAGGCATTTCAAGAAATGTGTTGTGAAATCGAGTAAATTGGTGATTTATTGAAAACCATCGATGGTACATTGTTCGTCAAACACATAGTTTGGTATCTGAGGTCACTGATACCAGGTCAGGTCACAGCGAGGTCAGGTCACCGGGGGTCACAATATGAAAGTGTCGTGTGGTACATGTTTTATGGTCCATTTTACATGACAAATGCGATTATGTGGGTTAGGCAGCCTTTGGGGCCAGCCTAGGTCACGTTTTGGTGAAGGTCAGGTCAAGGTCAGGTCAAATTAGGTCAAATTTCAAAGTTGATAGTTGTGCATAAAATGGGTATCGATTCGATGCAGCTCGTCACGGGGAGTCTAATGGTGGTCTTTGTTTTGCTCTACGAGGTCTAGAATTGCCAAAAATTGAGTTTGAAAATTTGACGTCATCATTTTTGAACAGTTTTTTCGCTATGACTTGGCCAAAAAACGAGGTATCGATCTGAAATTTGATATGTAGATAGAAGACGGTAGGTACTATCACATATATTCCGGTTTTTTTCGAAACTCAATTTTTTTTTGGATTTTTCGGCTAATATATAAAAAAATACTTTTTTATATTTGGGGGTCAAAACTCAAAAATTTCAAAAATCCGAGATAGCAATTGTGTAGCCCTGTCAATTCTACACCTTTTATGTCGTGATCATTTTTCTGTATCTTCAAAGCTGTAGGCCTGACAGGTCTTCTCGAGAAGGTCTTTTTTTCGGTCGAAAATGACAGAACATGACGTCATTCTGACGTCATTTGTGGCCAAGCTATCGTAGCCTCTGGAAAAATCTTTGGTCACAATGTGTAAAATTGATGCCCGGAGGGGTCCTGAAAGTTTGGTGGCGATATCTCCAGCCGTTTACGAGATATCGACCGAAAAGGACAGGGGGCGGGGCGCGGGTTTTAACCCGCGCCCCGTATCAATCTCTTAGAACCAAACAAATCGCTTAGAATCCCCCTGTAGCATCCAGTATCATCTATTTGAATCCGGCCAGACTGCTGATGATTCCGATTCCGACTCTAATGAGTGATGTCGATTTCGCGTCACATACCGCGCGCCCACGGCAGTCGCATCAGTCTGTATTCAGACTGCACCGCAGAACACCGAAGCGTTGCGGCGCAGTATCACCGCTCGACGTTCGCTCGCACAGCGCGGAGGAGGCGTCGCCTCGTATCAGCACGGGATAAATGTCGCTCAGTGGACACCGTGACGTGAACGACTGGACAGAAGGCTGATGCAGTGTGAATACAGCACCGGTCAGAGCACTATACGACCTAGATAATGTCTGAGACCGTGTCCACACACACACAGACAGGACACATGCGGACTAACATGCCGCTCTAACCAACCAAGCGATCTCACAGTTTAGCGACGTGAGCCATGAGCAAATGAGCAATTCACATGCAGAAAGTAGAGGGCGTGTACGGGCAGCCTCCCTCGTGTGCGGGCAGCCGTGTGGGGGTACAGAATTTGAACATCTAAGGTGAGCCGTAAGCAATGGCCTTATTTCAGTTCAACTCCTCTAGGAAAGTCACAATATAGCGGAAACTGCCTCCTCCCTCTTGCCAAACTGTCAGGATGCCTTTGGGTTCAGCTCTTGAGGTCAGTGATAGGAAAAAACCGCATCTTCGGAATAGAAGGTGGACGTCCTTTCTATAAGTGCTCATAGCTCCGAAATTATTGATTTATTATAATAAAACTAGAGGAAACTCGTCAAAACTACGCAGTTACTCAGCAATCAAGAATGGAATGACCTAAAATCAACAGTTCACTTCCAACAATTAGCCTAAACAAGTCGAGCTTAAAGGTAGTGTGCCAGCTTTCTTGGACCGTATGGAGTTAATGGCCCAGATAAGGAGAACCGGATTTTTAGAACTTATCCATACCTTCAAAACTCATGGAAACGTCTTAAATTCTTCAAATTTTGAGTACCCCAGTGCGAAATTCGCCCCGACGGGTTGTCGGTCGTACCCCAACCACATTTCACACCACTATGAACAATAAATGCACACACTGAAATCGCTATTACCGATATGCTCATCCAATCAAGTTTCGATAAACCCGTTCATCATCATCTCCTGCGGTTTCGAACACGCCTGTTAGGTGGCTTCTGATGCTCGTCGAGGTCGGAATTTCCAAATACGCGTGGTGCGTCGGGCCGCGCGCTCTGACTTCGGCCAAGAAAAATGCGTCAGCTGATCATTGTCATTTCTGCCACTTGCGTGTGGTGAAATGGGGTCATAACTTATAAGACGGCTTTTTCATATCAATTATTTTACATAAAATCATATTTCAAACCATAAATAATGTTCGACAGCCAAATAAAAGAAACAATACCAATACGGGCTTACAGTTTAAGGCTCGACATTGTGTTGTCTACGATTAGACAGCTGATAACTCATTCCCGTACGTCGTATGGTCGTAACACTATAATGACCTTTGCTTATTGTCACAAGTGCGCCGCATTCGCGATTGTTGCCCGACGCCTGTTTGCAGGTGAGCCCACTACAGTTGTTATACATATCTAAAACCGAAAAACTTTTAGGCGAAAAAGGCACTATTCGAGGCCCATTTTTGATTTTTTTTGCGATATTAGGTAAAAACAGAAGCTTCTTATCCTAGGAAAAATAAAATGGGAAATCTTTCAAAGGTGGCACACTACCTTTAAACTATTACGAAGACCCAGCTGTCGGGACTCTCAGTCTGATAGCTGATCAAGGGACGGAAGAAAGCCACGCGGATATTCATTGCATATGTATAACTAACGTACAAAACGATGCATAATGCAGCACGCACAGGATGACTGAGCCACAGATGAAAATTAATGACACCCCCGGGCAGCTCCTAGGGGCCGCCGTTCAGAACTCCGCTGCATGCATCATGGTCACTGCACAGCCCGTCGTTCCGCAGACTCGCGAGCTTTCGATGGACACCGTGCCTCAAGGTGTCGACACATTACGTAATCGGAACCACCGCACCAAAGCGCGTTCAACAGCCAAAATCCGGTTCCGCTCGGCACTGAATCACAACAGCGGCGACGTGTACGCCACACAGTCCGCCACGGGCGGCGCGTCACGGGCAGGCAAAGTTACCACGGCTGGCGACTCTCCACTCCACTATGCACTCAGAATGGCGGCCTCCGTTGGGTTGGAACTGAACTCCGTTGGGTCGGAACTGACCAGCTCAGTTGGGTCGGAACTGACCAGCTCAGTTGGTCGGTCGCTGGGCCACTCGACAGAGTCGGGCCAGCAGGGCAGACATCTGCACCAGGGTCGTCTCGCCCTGCGCCACGCGCATGTGGGTGTAACCGATCTCCTGTCGAGAGAAACCAGCAGCTGCTATAAATACATACAACAAACACAGGAACAGGAATAAGTTAATGAAGGGTCGTTAGCAACGGCTGCCTGCAGCAGTACAGTTTATTAAATATTATCCATCAGTATGGAAATTCAGGTTTATAAGTAACGCTAGAAACGCAAGTTCACGCCGCATTAAGTTCAAGTTGCCAGAGTATCAAACTTCCGCAATACGAGTTCATCGAACAAAAGCACTCAAGCAGTACAACAGAGCAGTAAGTTGCGACCGCAGATGGCTGGATGACATCGCCCACGTCACACAGACGGACTAGCCCACGTGCTGAGCGGGTACCAGCTGGGCGGGCGCCGACGGGTCGGGACGGAGAGCGCACTGCTCGGCCCGGCACCCACCTTGATAAACTCCAGTTTGAGGTACTCGGGTAGCTCGTGCTGTTTGGCAATGCGGAATACGTTGGTGATGATGTCCTCTGCCGCATAGCCCAGCCGCCAAAGGTGACTCATGATCTGAAGGCGGCACAGAAAACCGTACGTCAGAGTCCCGCGGAGGAAGGAAATGCTGATAGGACAGGCGACACAGTCACCCTATGTCAAACAGCACAGATGGACAAATAAAAATAGGTAGGCCACAGACTTCTCTATATAGAGAAGTAGACTTCTCTATATAGAGAAGTCTGCAGTGGGTCGGTTGATCATGTTTCTTTAGTTTGTAAGGAAACTTCACTTTTAATGAAGACAAAAATCAGACTAAATCAAATCACTAAACAAGTTGAACACGTGCTTACCTTGTACGCTTCGTCTATATCTGCTTTGGCGCAGTGAGACAGCATGTCCTTGATCAGCATGGGATGCGGCTCATCACACACCTGGAAAGGTTATCGGCCAATGTTAGCGGTCGCCGGTCGGGAAGTGACAAAACGCCACACGGGGCAGCGGACGATAATATCATGACCAACTGACCTAAACTGTCCGGATCAGCGATAAGTAACTAATTGTGGTATGACGAGACGACGTACCATGTGAGCAACTGGACAAATGGGCAGTCCCACATAAAAAACAATAAATGAACGCTGCTTATAAATTAACTCGCTACATTGTAGCTAAATAAGTAAACAGTAGATACCTCAAATAAGTACCTGAATCCTGATCAAATGACACACAAGGAGCCAGGAGGGTATCAATGCCAGAATAACTCACCGGCATCGAGACACCCCAGATCCATTTCTCTGTTCAACCCCACCCCTGTTGCCCTTCCCCGCCCCCTCAGCCCAGTCGGCCCCCCAGAGCCGAGCGTGGGTCGCTCAGAGACGCCGTCCCCACCTTGAAGACGTTCTCGCTGTTGACGTGCCCGAAGCCGCGGAACGTGGACTGCAGGTTGTTGAGCGCCTGGCGCATGTCGCCCTCCGCCGTGAACACGATGGCTTCCAGGCCGTCGTCTGTGTAGCTGACCTGAGACGGGGACGGTGGGAACTGAGCACTGAGTGGACGGGGACGGTGGGAACTGAGCACTGAGTGGAGGGGGACGGTGGGAACTGGGCACTGAGTGGAGGGGGACGGTGGGAACTGAGCACTGAGTGGACGGGGACGGTGGGCAGAACACTGACCTGAGACGGGGTGCGGTGGGAACTGAGCACTGAGTGGAGGGGGACGGTGGGAACTGAACACTGAGTGGACGGGGACGGTGGGAACTGAACACTGAGTGGAGGGGGACGGTGGGAACTGGGCACTGAGTGGAGGGGGACGGTGGGAACTGAGCACTGAGTGGACGGGGACGGTGGGCAGAACACTGACCTGAGACGGGGTGCGGTGGGAACTGAGCACTGAGTGGAGGGGGACGGTGGGCAGAACACTGACCTGAGACGGGGTACGGTGGGAACTGAGCACTGAGTGGAGGGGGACGGTGGGAACTGAGCACTGAGTGGACGGGGACGGTGGGCAGAGCACTGAGGGGTGAATAGAGACGGTGGACAGAAACTGAGCAGTGACGAGGGACGGCGGACAGAACACTGAGCAGTGACGGGGGACGGTGGACTGAACACTGAGCAGTGACGGGGGATGGCGAATTGAGCACTGAGCAGTGACGGGGGACGGTGGACAGAAACTGAGCATCGAGCGGCGACAGGACGTCAAGGGACAGTGGGATGTAAGGAGGGGACGGGGAAATGCGAGCAGTAACGAGGAGTCTGCGGCCCATCCTCTAACGAACGATACCGACGGGAGCTACAATTATACTGGAGAGCTGCTGGTAGCTACGGGAGACCATAGAGATCGAGAGACTGCCTGGCAGGCGGCGGGAGACAACTGGAAGCTGCACCGACACCTTCCGGCCTCCCATTAGATGGCACGGTATTACAAAAAGATAGCTAAAAACCGCCAATGAGACAGAATATAAATGGGTAGTCCCAGGCTCACATACAGTCTGTTACACTTATGTGCAGGATAACATAAAAGGCCAGGTCGTTACTAAGCCGGAAAATGTCACAAGAATTTCACTCCTGAACGTAACTTTACTGACCCCATGGTATTCAATCACCAGGATAAGTTCAACATTGTCATTGATGCAACATTGCATGAAACCTGGGTATGCTAAAAGGTCAGGTGGTAAGATCCAGAGTAATGTGGTTACTGCCTTACTCTTATCCGCACAAAATGTGGAATAGCCGATGGACGTGAAAACGTAAACCATACAAAACGTTCCCAGGGTGGAAAAGCGACACATGACAAAGTAACACGAAAAGATGGCTACGAGGAAGACCAATGAGACGTCACATCATAACAAGTTCACATCGCCAGGCTTCGATACACTCAACATCACTGTCGACACAGGCTGCTGCATCCCTGAGTCCCAGCCTGGACCCTCACTTCGCTCACCGCATGCTGGAAACTCCCATCCCCCACAGCCTAGAACCTCCATCGCGATATTCCTCGCCCCAAACTGGGAGCTGCCATGGCGGAGGAGTTTATTTCGCCGCACACCCCGCCAGTTTCACCTCCCACATCCCACTTCCCTGACCCTCACCTGCTCCAGTTCACAGACGCGCAGCAGCTTGTTGACGATCTGCGCGTCCGTGAGCCGACTGAAGCGCAGCATGGCGCAGCGCGACTGGATCGGTTCGATTATCTTCTCGCTAGTGTTGCAGGCCAGCGCGAAGCGGGTGGTGTTGCTGTACAGCTCCATGATGCGGCGCAGCGCCTGCTGAGCGCCGTCCGTCATACTGACAGCGGGGAGGGAGGGGGGATGTCAGACGGCAAGAGATTCCTCCTTAGATTGGCGGTAAAGAGGAGCCAATAAATAGCCAACCAGCCCGAGACATTCAGAGAGCAGAAGACCTATCCCTCCACCAACCAACTACGCCATGCCACAACTAAAGGAATGCCATTGATCACATTATCGTGACATTCAAATTTCCGTCAAAATTTATGAACCTCTAATTCTCTCAGGGGCATGGAGCAAATTGACTCGTTCTGGTGAAGGCTTATGCCATCAGTGCCCAGTAAGCTCAAAAACATCAATAATTACAAAATATTTAACTTTTCTGCAAACTTCCTTCCATTTCTTTATTGATGAAGGAGAAGGGCGCATCAGGTCGAGGCCAGTCACGGTCAACAGACAGCACTCTCCTCATGGCTCACCGTTCCCTGTCTGTACCGCTCACCTGTCCGCCTCGTCTAAAATGACGATCTTGTGTCGGCCGGGCGGCAGCGTCACCTGCGTCTGCGCAAACGACTTGATCTTGTTGCGCACGACGTCGATGCCGCGCTCATTGGAGGCGTTCAGCTCCAGCACAGCGGAGCGGAACGCCGGTCCAAGCATGTGCCGCGCCAGCGCCAGGATCGTGGTGGTCTTGCCGACGCCGGGCGGACCCTGACGGGGCGCGGTCCAAGTCAGAGGACAATCAAAAGAGCTGGGCCGGGTGAGTTTTGTGTGTGGAGAGAGAGAGAGAGAGAGAGAGAGAGAGAGAGAGAGAGAGAGAGAGAGAGAGAGAGAGAGAGAGAGAGAGAGAGAGAGAGAGTGAGAGTGAGAGTGAGAGTGAGAGTGAGAGTGAGAGTGAGAGTGAGAGTGAGAGAGAGAGGAGAGAGAGAGAGAGAGGAGAGAGAGAGAGGAGAGAGAGAGAGGAGAGAGAGGAGAGAGAGAGAGAGAGAGAGAGAGAGAGAGAGGAGAGAGAGAGAGAGAGAGAGAGAGAGAGAGAGAGAGAGAGAGAGAGAGAGAGAGAGAGAGAGAGAGAGAGAGAGAGAGAGAGAGAGAGAGAGAGAGAGAGAGAGAGAGAGAGAGAGAGAGAGAGAGAGAGAGAGAGAGAGAAGCAGAAATTACCCCTGGTGCAACTGGAGTGAAGCACTGAGACAAGTACCTTTATAACATATAACTAATGCATATAAGATTACTATGGTCATGCACCTATGGAAAAATTGTGGAAGAATGCATAAAAATAACAAGATTGGATTATTAGTTATCTATGTAAAATAGTGATATACTTACAGCCAGTATAATGTTTGGAACATTTCCATTTCTAGAGAACACCTCCAAGCGTGCCACAGTGTCTTCATTGCCAACAATATCCAGGAAATCTTCTGGCCTATACTTCTCTATCCTGTAATGCAACAAATCAATGACTATAACCAGATATGTAAGCACATAAGAACAACTATTTATCTGCCAACCTCTAATCACATTTCGGTGACTGCTGTGTCAGAGCCGCAGTAGATGATGGAGTCATATTGAAAGTTGCAGGAAGTATAAATAAGGTTGTAATTAGGTACCTACAACATGTTTATCATATTTATCATATCATATTGCTTCTTGATCTATGACCTGAGGCCAGTTTTACCAACAGAAAAATAGCCGCCTGCCGGACTTTTTTTTTGCATTAAGACCGCTTAACATACGGAGCGTAAACGCGATGGGCACGTAGGTAAGTGGATAGGACTTTACCGTTTACGATCCGTAGGTATGTGAAGCGGTCTTAAGGAAAAAAATCCGGCAGGCGGTATTTTTCTGTTGGTTAAACTGGCCTCAGGTCAATTTTTTGACCTACCAATATAAAACTGGGAAAGCATATGCCTTTGTTTTACAAATAGGCATTGCAATCGCCGACTCAACCATGAATAGCATCATTCAGGAGTTAAGACCAAACTTGACAACCTAAATGCATTGCTTTTATATAATGACTGACTGTTCTTGCTTGCTTGGTTATGTGACATCGTAAAGGGTCAAAACATGATCTTGCTAATAACTCCTTACATAATTGTCTCACTGTGTTTAGCTCGTAAAGACGCAGCAAATGACAAGCATTTAGAACTTGAGGTCAAGTGAATTGAAGTCAACTTTTGACCTTGTTCTTTTGAGGTCAACCCATACATGCTTATGAACTGACTACCTAGTGGATTTGGATGGCCCTTTTTTTGCTCCAGCTTGATAAGATCAATAGTTATTGGCAAAAAAAAAAAACCCTGTGGATGTGTATCATGTATTGACTGGGCCGTAATAGCCACTTGTGGACAAGCCCTAAATAAACGAAACGAAACGAAACGAAACGAAACGACCTGGGTCTGAAATTTTTACATGTGCAGAAAAGATGTACTCGTATGAACCACTGGCGGTCCCAGGGGGGGGGGGGGGCCACGGGGCCATGGCCCCCCCTTTGGTGCTGAAAGGTGGGGCCATACTATCTTTTGGCCCCACCTTTCAGATCGAACAAAAGTCCTAGAAAAGCTTTTCGTATGTTTCATTTTCTTTCTTGCGCCATCAAAGGACGTAAATTTCACTCATGAGTGGGCTCAGTTTCGCATTCTGTCAATTTGGTGGTCAGCGTCGCTGGCACCGGCTCACGAGTATGGCCGGATCTTATATGGAATATCAGCGTGGGTTTACTTGAGGCTCTCGTAGGCCCAGCAATGGCTGGCATGAGACCCTCTTCGGCAGTGGTGGGTGGGCCCTGATAAAGGAGATTGGCTCTAAGACATAAAGTAAGACCTCATGGGTTGGTGCTGTGCACCTCAGAAGCCCGGTGGTGACGCCGTATGCCGGCTTGGTTTCTTAAGGATTAGCGTGGGAACTCCGGGGCCTGCATAGAGTTTGCATGAGCTAGTATGTAATCTCAGAGGCATGTGTGTAATGTGTACACAGTGGCGGTCGCGGGGGGGCATCAGGGCCATGCCCCCCCCCCCAAAGGTCAATAAAGGGGGCCATCATATCATTTGCCCCCCCCTCAAACAACCAATGGGCCCCCATATAGGTGTATGGGGCCCTGGCAATTATTCGATCGTCACGAGGCTCAAAAAACCCACGCCCAGCTATTAATATAGCTCCCACACCGGTCTTTGAGCGTCCTACACTGACCTCTGAGGGAACTCCAGTGGCGGTCAAGTGCCCACGTTGACCGCTAAGAGCCTACATCAACCTCTGAGACCCCACATCTGGCCTATGAGGGCCCCTAACCGGCCTCAGGGGTCCCAACCGGCGTCTGAGGATCTCACACCGGTCTCTGGTGGCCTTATTTCTGTCTGTGGTGTCCCAAGACGAACCAATGAGGGCCCCGCACTGGCTGCTGAAGACCCGATGCCGGCCTCTAAGGGCCTGCATTGGCATTTGAGGAGGGCCCATCTTGGCCTTTGAGGGCCCTCTGCTGGCCTCTGGGGTCCAACGACGGCTCATGCCGGTCTTTTAGGGCCCCACGCTGACCTCTGAGGGCCCATGTTGGCCTGTAATAGCCCACATTAGCCTCTGAGAGCCCAACTCGGTCACTGATTGTCTCAAACTACTGGCCTTTGTAGTTTGCAGGCCCCGTACTGGTCTCTGAGGGCCCTAAACTGGCCTCTACGTGAAAACATACATGGGTGGGTTTCTGAAGATCAGAGGGCTCACGCAGTCTCCGGCACAGCCTTACGTTGGTCCTGATCGAGATTACTTTGCGTCCTGATGGTCCGGCGCAGATTCCCTCATATTTCGACGTCGGGACCCCATGAGCCGGTGTGGGTCCTGGGGCTGGCAGAGACTGATGAAGTCCTTAGGGCTCAGGGCCAGTCTTTTTAGCAGTAAGACTAGGCAGGTTGAGTGAGCCCCAATAGAGCCGCTACGAAGCCCCGCAGGAGTCGCGCGCGGCCCTCAGATGCCAATTTTGAAAGCTCGGAACCTGTGGGGGGTCTCCAGAGGTCGGTGTACCTACTCTCTCCCGCCGCCACACAGCTAGGTATATTATCTATATGGGTAAATGTCATAGTCTGAAAATGCTCTCTGGGTTTCACATGCCTGTTCAAAGCAAGAGGTATCTGTACTTTTCCGAATTGTTTTATAGTGGTAACTGGTCATGAATCCGCGTGCCTGACCTTCCAGTATACCTATGCTACACCGATCCGTCGTCATGGTGCAGTGGGCCGACCGGTGGAAGCACCGTGGGACGGGAAATGGAACTGGTGATTTTGCCTTAAATTGAGCTTAAAAATTTCACGCAAGAATCAGATGGATGAAGCATAAGTAATGCCAACTGCGCGGCACCTCGTGGACGTAAAAAATTGGCCGATCACCCCCCCCCCCCCCCCTTCCGGTGACGGATAAATGTTATGTCCCGCGAGTGTGACTTTGGCCCCCCCTTTTGCTAGCGGCTGCGACCGCCAGTGGTATGAACAGGTAAAAACCTGAGGGGGGCGTGAAAACACCCCCAGCACGGCACAGGTTAACTTGCAAAATAAACAAGACTGTCATCAGGGATCATCATCAGGAATGAAACCAGGGCTGCGGAGTCGATGGATTTTAGGGTGACTCCGACTCCGACTCCGGCTTCAAAAATCGACTCCAACTCCGACTCCGACTCCGGACGGTTCTATTAACCCGCGACCTGGTGGGGGGGGCTATTTTTTGCCCCCCCCCCTCCAGACTTTTTGATATATATCCAGAACCGCTGCGCCGATCGTCACCAAACTTTCAGTACCCTCCCGGACATCAATTTTACACAATGTGACCAAAATTTTTCCAAAGACAATGATAGGTTGGCCGGAAATGACGTCATGTTCTGCCGTTTTCGACCCAAAAAAGGGTTTCGCGGGAAGAGCTGTCAGGCCTATAGCTTTGCAAATACAGAAAAATGATAAGGACATAAAGGCTGTAGAATTGAATTGAATTAGATAGAATTGACAGGGCTACAAAACTGCTATCTCGGATTTTTGAATTTCTTTTATTTTGACCCCAAAAATAAAATAAAAGATTTTTTGGATATAAAAGTCGAAAAATCCAAAAAGTTTTTTGAATTTCGCAAAAACCGGAATATGTTTGATAGTCCTTACCGCCTTCCATCCACATACCAAATTTGAGATTGATACCTCTTTTTTTTGGCGAAGTTATAGCGAAAAAACTGTTCAAAATTGATGACATCAAATTTTCAAACTCAATTTTTAGCAATTCTAGAACCCGTAGCGCAAAACAAAGACCACCATTAGACTCCCCGTGACGAGCTGCATCCAATCAATACCCATTTTATGCAAAACTATCAACGTTAAAATTTGACCTTTTTTGGCCTGACCTTGACCTGACCTTGACCTGACCTTTACCAGAAAGTGACCTAAGCCGTACCTGATAGTCTTATAACCAACACCATTGAGTTGGAAATGAAAAATTGGCCATAAAACATGCATCACACAACCTTAGTAAAGTTGGGTTCATGTGACCTGACCTGTGACCTGACCTGGTATTGTCAGTGACCTCTAATAGCAACATATCTACTAAGCAACTGACGCCCCATCGCTGATTCTCGACAAAATGCGTTTTCCTCGGTGTTATAGCGCATTCCCTAGAAGACCCGTGAACAGTGAAACATTTCATCATTGACCTGACCTGTGACGTCATCGGTGACCCCGAGGTCAATGAAATTTGGTTTCCCGCGACAAATTTGACAGGCCTTTCGAACACCGTTTAAATTTTGCGGATCCGTCCAGTAGTTTCGGAGATACGAGGGGGGCAAAAAATAGCCCCCCCCCCCCCCACCAGGTCGCGTTATAAACAGACCCTACCAGGGCGCGGGTTAAAATCCATATCATGATATTGAAGTTCATAACGGATATGTTTGTATCTTGCCTGAAATGATCCTTTGTGCGTTCCAAGGCTTTTAGATGGAAAATGCAACAAAAATAAGCAGATTCTGGGGAATTCACAGTCTTGCTTCTTTCCCTGAAAACGTTCGTTCAAAACAACAACATGGCCTTTTTTCAACAAAATCTAAATTCGAGCGCAGCGTCGGCAATCTAACAAGTGCAGTACATGCCGTTGAGCCATGCAGCGTTAACTCCGAATCCGGAGTCGGTAAGATTTTGGCGACTCCGACCCCGGGCAGAACTGTCGACTCCGACAGACTCCAGCTCCGACTCCACAGCCCTGAGTGAAACATCCTAAGTTTAACCCTCGCCGGACCTATTGGTTTTCTACATACGCGCCGGCCGAGGGGGGGGGGGGGGGCGGGTACGACCCCCCCCCTCGCCGTTTCGCCCCTGGTGGAGCTAGCGCGTCGCGGAAAAAACGAGCGTGTGCGCCGTTACGAGACGCAGAGATTGGTACCCGATTTTAAGGTCCTAGGTCAACCGGTGACCTCTGAGGTCAGGTCAAGTGCCCCAGGGTACGGTTCAGTTTTTGGTGAATAACTTCGCAAAAAATGGCCGCAGAGCCGCGATTTTGGCAGCATCGTGTTCGCCTCGCTCAGGCGCGTCGCATGACATACTTTTTGTTCGGGTCAGGTCAACTTGGGGTGTTGACCTCAGGTCAAGGTCAGGTCAGCACCCCCAGGTCACGAAGTTGGTCGAAAGAGGTCATGTCGCATATCATTCGATTTGGCAGGTCTTCCTGAGTCCATTGGTGGCTTTCTCGACTCGCTAGCTCAATTTGATCAAGAGTTATTGACGAAAAACTAATATGACCTTGATGACGTCATAAATGACGTCACGCAAGGTCAACATTGCAAAAGTGACGCATCTAACCTTGCAAGGAGTGCATCAAATCACGTTTCTGTGTGCTTGAGATAGTTGGAGATCGTTCCCGGCGCCAGAATAGCAGTTTGAATTTTTCCCCATTGACTTATAATGGTGAGGTCACGAAAATGACCTGACCTCATATGACCTTTAGGAAAAATCCGAGATATACAAGTTGTGAGACTCATAATGGATACTAGATCCTGCAAGTTTCATTTCCCTGTGACATCTCCTCTGGCAGTGAGGGCGTTGCGAAGTTGCGACATCTGAAGACCGTGCAGAGGTTCACTTATGACGTCATAGGTCAGTGACCTGACCTGACCCAAAAATGCGGTTGGTGTCAAAAGATGCGGCTTGGATCAAAGGTCAGGTATGCCAAGTTTCAGCTCTCTATCGCCAGCGTGTTCGGAGCTATCGCGAAAAAACCCTATGGGGGGGGGGCGGCACCCGCCCCCCCCCCTCGGCCGGCGAGGGTTAAGTGTCTTTGAGTTGTTTCATCCTTTTCCCATAGGGATAAACAGGCACCAACACAAAGACACTAGGTACCTACAATTCAGGTTGCATCTTTCCTGATAATGATCCCTGACCTGACCACAATCTTGTTATTTATTTCTCAAGTTGAGGCCATGCATATTATATCCGTGTCAAAAGAAGTCTCCAGTAGGTACCCCCAATGCAAGAGATATAAGAGCAGGCTTGCCATTGCATTTGCATTTGTTTCTTTCTCAAGATGTTATTTGCAGCCACTATTTATGCTCCAGTCTGCAAAACGTGGCAGGCTTCGACGAGATCTCGTCGGGGCAGACACCACAGGTTGGGGCAGAAATAGGGGCAGGTTTCAGGAAGATTGGGGCAGAAACAGGAAAATCTGGTGCAGAAGTTAAAAAATTGACACAGAAGTGATTTTCTCAGCTTTTCACTGCTTCCTACATCTTTATATTGTTACATTATTTGCATCATTAGGGGCAGGAATTGGGTTGCCCCTGGACTCAGCATTCTGATTCGGGGCAGGATTTTGCCTGCCCCGAAAATCTTGTCGAGCTCCCTGCCATGTTTTGCAGACTGGTTTATGCTTATGCCCCCCCCCCCTTCCCACTCTAAAGGCTGAAACAGACTCTTTCTGCATTCAGGAAATCACATGCGAGAGCCTATTCAAATACATTATAATTTTCCCGCATCAGACAATCACATACAGGAGGTGCATGCAATAGACGCGAGTGTGCTTCCATGTATCTGAACAGGTTTTCGCATGCGATTTCCTGACTGCGGAAGGTCTGTCAGGAAATAGATGCAAACTTGGCCCCGAACCCATCTATGTTGATGTGCAGGTTAAAAGCCAATAAGGAATCACTGAAAATAGCCGGATCTTATGTATGCATGTGTAAAAAGGGGAGCAATTAGGTACCTTCAGTAATTCATCATTTTGAAAGACAGCTGTACATGTAGTTAGAATGTACAGTTAGATGTGCTTACCAGGGGACATTTCCTGCTGGAAACTTGGCATCTCCAGATGATCCTGATTGGGATTCTTGAACCATTTTCTGGAAACAAATTAAGAACATATAGGGGCGGAGCAAATATAACATTTGGTTTTCATACAGCAGGCGTCTCGCATGCTGTGGGAAAAAGGGTGAGCCAGAAAGGTATGCAAATATTAGGCTTCAGGACATCAAATAATCAAACACCAACAAAGTAAATGGTTACAAAAAACCTTGAAAATATAAAAACCTACATACACAATTCAAGGCATAACCAAATATAGCTGAAATTGAAATATTCGCGCGCGCCTTTCGTGTACAGCATGTGCCTTGTGCACCTGTTCGATAGCTAACCATCTCCCTTTATGATGCCAATATTTCACTTTTCATGAAGCAACAGAATTTTTCATTACATATGTTCCTGATCCAAATAAAAATATAGCTTGCGGGCGATCATTTAAAAACGCCTTTCATTTCGTAGAAATGTATTTGATCAATGTATGATAATGTATTGTCATGACAACCTGAGGTATAATACTGCTCGCAGCCTAAGGTAACGCAATTTAGAACAGAACGATTGATGGCCCGCGGTTATTTCATGTAACATCTGCGTCAATTTCCCTACTTTTTGTTTATTTCTAAACAGCTGCAATATCTTGGGATTTAGCCACTGCCACAAGTGTGACGTCAGCAGAATGGTGACGTCACACTGGGTGGTGAAACACCACCCAGGGGCCTGGAGTAAACGATTATGTTACAGAACGAAAATTTCAGAGGTGATTTGTACTGTCATAAAGAAAAAATAGAGAAAATGTTTTTTTTTTTTAGAACCAATACTACTTCGTAATCAGTGTTGCAACTTGCAAGTAACTAATCTCATTTATATTACAAAGTCTTGCTAGGTTATCGGGTTATCACATTAATCACGAGCTCTCAAATGCCATAACGTTCATACTTCATAGTTCTTGGTGACGCTGGCAGCCTTGCTCATAGCAATATTGCATCGAACACTGCGATAGACGTGTGTGCGCTGAGACAATGTGCTTTGGGAGCTTATCAAATCACAATCTTATTGTTTCGGGTGCCAAAAGCGGCCGAACCCCCTGTTCTTCCTGTCGTCTACAGTGGCCAGTGCTCAGTGAGGTATGAGAATCAGCGTTTCACATTTTTTTTTTACATTGAATTATCGTGTCAAGTGACAGTAGTTTGTATTAATAAGCACAGCGGATTAATCGGTGAACCAACAACGGCACTTCGCATCGGAACACCAACAGATGTCAGCACGCATGATAAAAGACCCAGCACCGGCGCACAGCATCATCAAAGCTCATGACTTCATTGGATTTCAAATATCGTAAGATTATCAAAATATATGGAATATAACCACTCTGAATCACAGTTTTCAAGCTAGGCCCCAAGCAATCTTCGTGGTCGGCTGACAAGCCCCACGCATGCAATCAAGATACAGTGATGGCACGCAATTAGGTACATACATGTCAAAATAAAGTTACGGTCCTCAAAAAGGCACCTAGCTAACTATTTCCAGCGATAGATCGGTAATACGGCTACAATGCTTAATCAAAGTGATTAGTGGGCATTGCCCTGCTTCTAAAATACCATTCAACTGTAGGCATATAACAACAAACACTGACGTAGCCCCCGGCATTCGCCTCTGATCCACCGTAATACCGTTCCAATCCGTGACCGCAGCACACATAGCCGTGGCCAGCCGTGGGCCCGCGAATCATCCCACTTTTAGCGACGCTCTACATCTTCAGGCACGGTTGACATCCGATATATGTACGGTGAAGTAGAGCGTTTACTCTTAAACTGTCCCACACTAACTGCACTGGCGAACTAGTAAGCACCGCCGACGGGCCTGCCGACCCTCTACCATCATCTCACGCCATCAGCTCACGGGGTAGCATGACACGGTTAACTACGAATCCGAATAGATTCTGAAGAAGGCAGTGCAGAAACCTGCAGAGGCTGGCTTAGACAAGTGCGGTAAACGGAAATCCCGCACACCGTAACTCCCAGTCCAAAAAATTGGTCCCGAGCCCTGCGGCCTCACCACTAGTCTGAACCCATCCCCCTTTCGAGTTTTTTTCCGCGCATAGGGGTCCTAAGCATCTATCCCAACACTGCTTCCGCGCCCTTTTGGTGCCCCTGGTCTGACCCCGTTAGCAGCGGCCGCCCCATGGCTTGTAGGAGCGATACGCGCCTTTGACCCGCCCTACATGCAACAATCCTGGTTGAATGAGGGCGTGCTGCTGTCGAAATGGAAGTCGTCCTCGGGATATTCGACGCCGGCAGACTTCCTCATGGCCTCCACCATCTCGGCCGTGCGGATGGTGTCATAGAGAGACATCAGCGGCGACTCCTTCAGACCTGTAGCGGAACGGGGCGGCTCAGCGACGCGGAACGGTCCCACATCCCACATACAGCGCACTGAGACTCACCGAGCGCCATGGCTACCAGAGCACGCAGTGTCTAACGACTAAAATAATGAAGGTTGTTGAGGTCGCATATCCATAAAATCCCAACCGTAAAAAACATGTTTGAAAAGAGTATGCACAGCCTGCTTTGCCAAGATTAAGCTGTCAAAAAATGCAAGGCGAATGGAAATAAAATCCCCGATTATTCTAATAACGGATTCACGAATATTTTACTTTGTTTTATCGGTACGCGAGTCCGCATATACATCACTATAGTCCATGTACTATCTCTTGACTTCGAAAGACGTCTTGAGATTCTGCGCTATCAATAGCCGTGGGCACTCCATATAGTACGGCAAATAGTGAGACCTTATCGCGTTTCAGTAATCATCGCGTGACAGACAAGAGGCGGGTCCGCTTGAGGGACAGTTCGGTACAAGTTTGATTAATTCAATCGACTTATGTGCTTCACTTAAATGGTAAAATGGGCTAGCTCGGTGGAAGAATACAGGAACCCCAACGGACAGTCCGGCCCTTCAGGCCCCTCGTTCCCCCTGTTCAGCAGCACTCCCCACGGAGGGCGGCACAGGCAATAGTACGCACCTTTCCGGAGGCACTCGGCCACGTGCAGCGCCTCGTACTGGAGGCCGGCTGAGTTCTCAAAGTTGTACTGCGCGCCCGGGAAGGAGGGCGGCACCGGGTAGGAGACGGTGCCCGACGGCAGCACCAGGTCCGTGGGCGCGTGGAACGGCGGCAGCAGCTGCGCGCAGACCGGGGGGGGGGGGGCGTCAGTGGGCGCGGATGGACACGGCGGCCGCAGGGCGGGTCGGGGTCACGCTGGCAGTGGTTGCAGAACACAGGTTCACCACTCGCCACACAGTGAAGAAAAGCCGGGTTGTGTCATAGAAACAACGTTGCCGATCGAGGGCGGCATGCTGTCGATTTGAAAACACTCCGAAAAGGATGGAAAACAGCTCCATATTCCTAAAAAAAAAAGTCCGATAAAGAATACACATGTCACTTTGATAAATTGACGATGACCATTCCAAAGATCGACGGTATACTGAACATCTCGCAGCAAATAGTCAAAACCCATCCGCACACGGAGACCAGCTGTGCTCCGTAGACAGCGCGCCCACCCGTGCCTACCTTCATGATGCCCTTTGTGCCGGTGATGACGGCCGCACACTCCATGGCCACCTCGCAGTGCGTGACCAGCGTGGCCAGCTCGCGGCCCGGGTAGGTGACGCTGGTGCTCAGACTCAGGTCACACCCCTCGTTGTTGAGGTGGCCCAGTGTGCGCAGCCGGCTCCAGCTCTGGTTATCCATCACCAGGTTGGTGAGCTGGGCGCAGTAGACGCCCAGGTCGAGCGCCGTGCCGCCGCCTGTCGCCTTCGTGCTGCCGGGGGAGCGCCGTCACCGGTCAGAGAGGTTCGGCAGTGTACTGAGGTAACAACAGACTGGGGCCCAATCAGTGTACTGGGACCAAACGGATGTGTCGGCCACTTCGGTGTGCTGGGGTCAGTCTGGTCCCCGTGTGTTCCGAGGATACTTTTTTCTTTTGCATTTCTCATGGCGTTTCCGGCAGACTTAGATAGCGCACATCAGCACTAAGCGTGTTCATGAGCCTACCTATGAGGAATTGAGCGATGCCGACCAATAAGAGTAATGGGAGGGTCGAGGACATCCCGCGATTCAGGTACCTAACACGACCGATTTTCTGGCAATAATTATAACCAGGCGCGCCGACAGCCGACCGGATGACGTCAATCGCCAGCCCCCCAGATCGCCTACCGCCGTACTCGGGAGTTGCGTGCAGACCGGGCGGAGATTGCACAGGGCGGCGCACCGGTCACCGGCCGGAGACAGAGCTATGCCATTAGCCGACGTCCGGTCCCGACAGCACCGACTCGCGTCCGGCGTGCGACATTTCAAACTTTGAAGGCCGACACCGCGCCGGCCAGCGACGGCCATTACCCGTGTGATTAGAGATTTCGATACCCAGGTGCCAGCCGACGCCTACCCGTCAGCTTTACGGTCTCGAAACTGACCTCTGCAGCTTCACGGAACGAACACAAAAGAGTACGGGTGACCACCGCGATAAGGTGATTTCCTGAGTGAAAAATACGCGAATTTGGCGGTCAGAGTGACCAATATTGAAAGTGGAAAATGAATAGGCATTTGCTTCCCTTAATATAATCAATTGTTAGCCATCTACCGCGAATGAGCCTGCAACAGTAATCAAACAATACACACGGGCGACGGAAAAGGGGCACCGTGTGTGGAGTGGAGTCTACCTGGAGGAGGTATGCCGCCCATCCCCTCCTCCACCGGCTCTACCCCGGCATTGGTGAGCTGGCAGCCTGCGGCACTGTCGGCGTCGCAACTCAATCAATCGATTGCTCTGAGCCCGAATACAAGCGCTTTAACAGGTAAATCGATCACAAAAAATTAGCTAACAAGGTTAGATTGAGGAAGAATATTCATATTCGTTCGTTCTGGGCAAAAGTTTGACAAAAGTTCTGTTCTGATAAAAGTTCTGGGCAAAAGACAAACACAATCTCGTTCCGAACATTGCTGGAAATGAGCCTCTCCGATACAGAATCTGTCAGCCTGCTAATGGGTAAAGTTTGACGCCGAAGTCAGTTTCCGTATCGTGATCGGATCTGTGGTGCAGAAAACGCCATCAGCAAAACATGACGCAGCACTTACTATACGGACATTGACCATTGATGAGTACCAATCGAAACTCCGGCATATGGGGGGGGGGGGGGGTAAAAGGGTGCCGCCCTCGACCGTCGTCGTCCCCGTCATCTCCACGAGCCACCACGGCCGGTCAGGTGACGATACGGAG